AAAAATCTGTCTTAGTTCCACTTTTAATGATGATTGAGTAGATGTATGTTCCCTCTTAGTCAATGCTGAACCATCAGTATAGCATGGTAGTACTTGGGAAGCGTTTTTAGGTTCATTGTAAGCCCAAAGTCTTGGTCACTTGTGATCAGTAAGATGGCATGGCATTTTTATAAGTGTGTTAACTCTGTTATTCTGGCCCGATTCCAACCTGAGTAATTCTGTTTTGCCTCCCTAAATTCATCCTGCAGTTGGATACCTTCTTCTTTTTCTAAACTGTTGTGTGGTGTTGCTGTGCCCTTTGCAAGCAACGTTTTGGATGAAATCTGTACTGCAGATCTGTGTATAATGTGTTTGGGGGAACTGTATACATGTAGGATAACATTTATTACGAATAATGAAAAATAGGATACACATCCTAAGGATTAACAGCTAATGGTGAAGTCTGGTCAGAAGTCAAACACAGTGTAGATTGTAAGCTCTTTGAGGCAAGGACTATCTCTTAAGCACTGTACAAACACTCAATATCACCATGGGGGTGGAGTACGGGGTATGGGACCTGTTCTTGGTTGGTCCCTAGGCACCACCATAATGAACATGATACATTTAAAAAGTAAAACAAAATCAAAGCCAAATACCCAGTCCTCCTCAAAAATTTCAACCAACCAAACAAAAACACAGACTTGTTCTGGTCTCTTTGCATGTGTGAATGCTGAACCTGAAAAACGCAGAAAAGCTAATGAAAAAGATGTTCTCAAGTATAACGCTGTGAATCAGTCAATATGGTAAATGCAGTTGCAACCTGTGAAATTTTAAATCTTCTTAGTGTGAAGTGCACCTAACAATAATACTATTCCGTCAGACTTACAAGCAGCTTTCGTTTTTCTTGTAGGTGTTTTGGTTTTTTTTACATGTAATAATTACATGATTTGGCAAGATTTCCAAGTGTGATGGGGCGCTTTTCATAGAAGTTTTTTTTTTTTTACAGTTGCATTTGAGGAATAATTAGATGAAGTGGAGAAGTTAAGCATTTCTCGGTGAAACTCACCTTTAGTTAGTCTGCTGTGAAATCAAAACTGAGCACCATGGATTTAAAATCCAAAGTAATCTTAGTCTCATTTTGATTTTTGTTTAATGCTAAACCCTAAAAAATTATGAATATTGAAGATTATGGTATAGATGTCACTTTTCTTAGTGTGGTTCTACTCTGAAAAGTGAATATTACATCGTTTCTGAGTAACTTTTGCTTTAAATCCATTCTGAGTCAAAGTGGAAAGATGCAATGGGCTGTTTTTACATTGTCACTTTTCAGAGTAGAACTTCACTTTTCTCTCCTTTGTAACTGACAGCTGCACAGCTGGAGATTAAGTACACAAAATAGTGTAATATACCATATGCTTAGATGTCAAGTAAGATGTGTAAATAAAGGGCCTGTCATATTTCTTAAAGTCCTTACTAACTTTGTTTATAATCTTTTGTCCTAAATAAGGGATCCCTAGGTTTGTATTTGCCCTTGTGAAACTTACTAGGAAGCTATGGTTTCTCTGACCAATCCTATGTGGTAAAGACTCCCTTGTCTTTATCTCTGTCATTATTTTGCTATTACTTTCCTTGTCTAAAAGAGGAGATGAATATTCAGCCCAGTGTCTGAGTCAGAATGATCATTAACCAAAAGGCAAAGCAGCATTTGGTTTGCTTTATATTCACAGTCCCTAGGAGAGGCACAGAGACCTCCAGTACAGATCCAGTCCCTTGTTCCAGAGGCGACCTCCAGCTTGTGTTCTGGCCAGGGTCTGTTGATCTGGTTTATTATTAAAATAAAATCAGATTGTTTACAGTGTTCCATTTAGGTACTACTCTGCTGGTCTGTCAACTGCCTTTGAACTCAAATAATTCCTGCCAAAGCAAATGCTCCAATACGCTCCTATGCTTGTAGATAATGAGCTCTGCTTCTAATGCTGCCACGTGTTATTGTCCATGTGCATATCTACTGAGTGATCAGGGCTGGGACTCATTTATTTACAAAGTGGATAAAGAACACTAGCTGGTTCTAGCATATGCTTCGTTTTCTACGCTATGAACAACTTCGCTTTATCCGTTAGCCAGGTCTTGGAACAGCATTTTCCTCCCTTTCTCCTCAGCTGAAAGCACAATAAATAGCTACATCTCTGATATGGCGTTAGTTGAAACGGTGTTCTACACCTTAAAGAAAGAGACAATTTATCATTGTTTCAGAAAGATCATCCACAATAATTTTTGGTAAGCTGCAACTTTCTACCAAACTGATGTAGTTTAAAAAATATAGATATAAAAAACCCAACTGGGCTGGAAACTGGTTATAGTTTGACATCTTGGAATAAAAGGGTGTCTTGGCTTAGATACACATCTTGCACCAACCTGGATTGTGTGATGCCACAAGGCATCCTTTGATACCTCCAGAAGACTGCAGTTATCAGTATAAATAATGTATTTCCCAGAGCACCCATTATTTCTAGCTATTTTACAAAGAGAAAAGAGGGCATGATCCCTGCTCCAGGGATTTTGCAATCTACAGACAGACAAATGGTAGAGGAAAGTGTACAGCCTATAGAAGAGTTGTAAAAGTAGTGAGTAAATGGCCACATCTTGATAATATAAGACTAATCCTATCCAGTTTTCCCCTCAGATCTGCCAGTGTAAGTCAGATAGTTTTCAATACAAAAATAATATATGATCAATTTCTGCCCATTCAGTTAGAATTGCTTTCTATCCATAATGCACATTGCAATACAAGTCATGTAGCACAGAGGAAGGTTATGAGTTTTGCTACAGCTACTTCCAGTATCTTTGGCACACATGCAGATGTAATAAACTGTATATTAAATGGATTTTTGGAACAGGGAGCTGGAATAGTAGCTTGCTCCATCCACTCCATGCATCAAGCGGGTATTGCAGTGCTGTCAGGAATGGTGCACCTCCCATCTGGGAGAATATGCTGGTTAAAAGAAAGTGGAAAAAAAAACTGTTGGGTTTGTGTCTTGTTTTTAATGTTAACACATTTCTCGTTCATTTGGGGTTAGTTATTTGTATTTTGTTTTTAGTAGAGGCACTTGAGGGAGGGTGGGCTGCTTTTCTTAATTTTACTGTTGTTTTATAGGCCATTTAAGTGGCTCTTTTATTAGTCTATTCTATGTAGGTGCTCCCACTGCTCTCATTAGTGTACCTTCCAAAAGTGTGTGGTTTGGATCAGTCTTTCATCTGTGTCCCCACAGGAGAGAATTTTTTCATCCCTTTCCCCTTGAGAAAATGTCCTTGTTTTAGCTTAGGGAGTAGTCTCTGTAAATGTTTTCCTCAAACTAGGAATAGTTTATAGGAGCAGAGGAGGAGGAAGGTTTGAAATACTTTCCTCATGGATTGTATTTTCTAAATGGACAACCTACCCTAAATTCTCAATTACTGAGGGGCAATCTTCACTCATTGCTATATTTGCTTTCCACAACCAACTCTCTGTATGACTTTTCATGAGTGTTGTACCTGAATACTTTGGATGCTAATATCTAAACTGTGTTCTTAAATTTATTCACCTAAATTTGGGTTATTGCTAATTATGCACTATATGTATCTTATGGACTATCCACAAATACAAAGTTTGTTTTTAAAATTTAAGCACTATACCCAGATGTACAGACACTCCTTTTTTCTTAACCTGTGTACTATATAATTTTTTAATATTTGCTTTAATGAAAAAATTTAAACAGTTTAAGTGTGGCACCCTTTATTTCTCCTACACCACCACCAATAGGTCTGCAAACTAATTTTACAGTTGTTAAAATTATCGAGCACAGCATTTGATTTCCCTCCATGGGAAGAGGATCTGCTAGTGCAAGCAGACTTTCATCTAAAATTCCAATGGTGTAGTTGTCGCCCAAAAGAATATTCCTCTAGTGACCACTCCTTCAGATCTCTCCTTAAGACTCACTTCTGCCATGATACCACCTGACCATGGTCAGGCAAATCAATAATGTGCAAACATGCTTATTTTACTCTTACCTTGTTCTTCGTTTGTCAATGTCATCCACCTTTGGAGTCCTGCTATAAACCTAGATTGTGAGCTCACTGGGGCAGGGACTGCCTTTGTATTACAGATTTGTGCAGCACTTATCACAATGGGTCTAGAACCCTGGCTGAGGCCTCCAAGTGTTCCTGTAATCACAGATAATATCTCTTGTAACTGAGACAGTCTAAAGCCCTTTTAGTGACCACTCTTAATACGCCTGAGATATCTCACAAGAAATAACTTTATTGGCTAAAAAAGTTGTGAAATATTACTTAATGCTGCTTCTAAATATTTAGGGTGAAAACCTAGTCCCACTGAAGTCAATGGGAGTTCTGGCAGAATCTTTGCTTGGAGCTTGTGCTGTGCCTATGTGGGGACCAGGACGGGTTCACCTGCTTTCTTCCATGACCCAGTGATGTCTGTGATGTAATTTCTGCTGCTAAATTTCTTGCTTATAGGATGTGGCACCAAATGCTACAATGGCATGTCCCTGAAATCAGAATTTATTATCAATCCATAGTATGCAGGTAGCAAAGCTGTTTCTACATTGTGAAAAACAGAGCACGAAAAGAAACCAGGAAACCACAAAAACAGAATAGAGCACAGATATATTTGTTCATTATACACAAGATTTAATCCTATATGGTAACTTTTTATTCAATTTAAAAACTCCATTCAGCTGGAATGGATAATGTTGTGGATCCCAAAGAGCCAAGCAACAAACATAAGAGTCCGTGAGCACGGCTACTGAAGTCGCAAGGGCTGGACTCTTCTGAAATCTGGTGTTGCGTTTGTAATCAGCAGTGATATGAAAGGAGCACAGGACAAGTACATGCCAGCTAAATGTAAAAGACAGGTTCAAAACTCTGTCTGGGTGTCACAAGCTTTGCTGCCCAGGACTGGGTTTCCAGTAGTGTGAGATTGGCTGTCTGACTAGCTAACCACCTTTTTTTAAAAAAATTTCCAGTCTACTATGCTCATGATAAGCTGGATGACTTCATCAATGTCGTTAACATCCATCTGCAGCCTTTCTTTATGCAGATCCGGAAAGGAATGTCTGAAGATGATGGGAAAACATATTACGCATTGGTAAGTGTGTGATATGTTGCCACCTTGTGGATTTAATGTCTAACTACTAGTAATGCTAACCAATGTCACATTTCAAAGATGCAGCAGCGAGGAGAATCATCTCTATACTTAACATAAAATTAACCTTCATGCATAACATATCAATGAAAAGTGCACATTCCTCCTAATACTTTTAGACTGGTAAGCTCATTCACGCAGGGACTGTATTTTAGCCAGTGACAACAAATACAGCTACTATTTCTCTCTGTGCTCCAAATCCTTGAGTTTGAGGTACCAATAGAAGTGCTGAAACAAAGGGTTATAATAGCAATGTTATTCAGAGCAAATACACAGAATCTTATGAGGATGTGTCTGCCAGCACGCTTCTCACACTAAGTGATGTTTTGTTTTGGCTGGGCTCCTCCAGTCTTATGCTGACAGCTGCTGTAGAATCTACATGTAGAACAGGGAAGCGTGAGGATGAACGGTTAACATGATAAACACGAAGGAACAGAACATGGCGGCAAGGACTGTAGTCGTGTTTGATTTATTTATCATAAATATTAAGAGGTGGTGCTGCGATAAGTGTGTTTTTTTTTTTTTTTTAAAAAGAACCTTTTTTCCCCGCTATATGTAACGTCAGCTGGAAAGCTCTCAAACCTCCCCAACATGGATTTTTTGCACCTGCTAATAAAAAATTCATCCAGTAGAAAAGATCTGCTAGGAAATGATTTACAAATAATTTCCGGATTGTAAATGTCAGCGAGAGAGAGAGCATTGTCTGGCGATTGCACAGGTCTGGGAATCGTGCTCTGTGCAACCTTGACCAACGCCTTTAGCTCCTGGTTCCTGTTTTCCTATGTATAAAATAGGGCTACTAATACATCATGGTAAAAGGTGAAAGAGCAATACAAAGTATTGTTGTTTTTCATAATCAAGTAGTGCTGCCTGTTAACCATAGTAAATTACTATTTGCTATTAGGTATTTTCATGATTTTTTTGAATGTTGTTCTATTGTATCCCTTTCATCTCAACTTACCTCAGAATCTAAACATTTATCTGAAGTACTGGCTTAGTATAAGTGAAAAATTCAGTCTCTTCTTAGTCTCCATTTGTGCACAGTGTGGAGTGTTTGCTCAGGAGAGGTCCAGGGCTGGAATACGGGGGTCCTGCAAGGGCAGGATTGAGGTGTTTTTGTTAATAAAAGGCTTTATCTCAAGAAAGAATGCTCCCCTTCATGCTGTTGCAACAAGCGACCTTTATGTTAATTTAAAATAATACATGCTTTGTTCTGGCTGGAAGTACAAAGGTAGTTTGAGTTCAATAATTGTTATTTTATAGGTGAATCTGGCAGAAACTGAAATAACTAAGATGGCATCTGACTATACAGAAAATGAGTTAGAATTGTTCAGAAAAACTGTAAGTACTGTAAGTCAGCTCATTACTCAGCAAATCAGACTGTTGGGGGAATGGTCTCCTCTTTAAAATAAACGGAATAGTCTGTGAAATCTGCTTGAAGAGTAAGATACCATATTGCTTTAGTTTATAATTGTTAGTTGTAACACAAATCAATTGAAAAAAATAGAAGTGTGGCATAAATCTGTTCCCTCTTGGGGATAAATTAGTGTTAAATCGAAATCAATGAGAAAGCGCTTCTCAGAGCAAGACTTGGCAGACCTGCTTTTAGTTTATTAATCATCTTTCTGCAGCAGCACTGTCCCAGAATTCCCAGCAATGACTGGGTAATTCTGTCTGGGAATAGAAGGTTTCAGGACCCCTTTAATCTACAGTAGCTTTTGACAATAATAACCTAGTACTAGGATTTGAAGATTGCTACGAAGTGGATTGTATATTGTTGGTTTAGTCAATGACTCGTATGCATTGATAGCCATGGACAATGCCGCCTAACAAGACAGGCAGACCGCTCTTGAAGAGTTTTCAAAGGTCCAGACTCCCCCATTGGGTCCATATGCAATGTCCTGCTTCATGTGAACCAATGGTGTCATCACTAGCATTTCCCATGATAAGAATTCAGTATCTTGCTTTTTGTTGGTTTCTTGTTATAATATTGTTTGGTTCTGTTCATAAAGAGTATAGTGAATTTCTGTGACTGCTCAGAGACTGTATATGTTTTGGGCCTACCGGTGCGAGAAATACATCTGCCCTTTATGGACAGCAAGGGTGATGTGTCGCTTACCTGGAAGAAAATCCTCGCTTGCCTCAATGTGAAGTTTTTCCAAAAAGTCTCATCTACACTTACAGCTTTCAGAAATATTCCCGTTGCTGGTCTGAGACTGGTGCAGCTTCACTGATGACATCAACAGTGTAGACCAGTGTATAGGTTACCACCACTCTCATCTCGAGCTGCACTGATCAGAGACGCACTGTGCTGAAAGTGCATGTGTCCTGCCTTCACTAGTGCTCCAAGATTTGTTGCCATCACAGATTTTGCACTGAAGCTCAACCAAAGATGATAGAATTTTTGAAAACTGGCAGCACCAATTCAGCCTAAGAATGTCAAGTACATTTACTTGTGCACATGAATCCAGTTGGAACAGATGCCTTGCTGATGGATAAAGATCTTTCATCAAGGAAGCATGGATCTCAGGCCAAGTCAAGACACAGATTCCTCCCTGGTGTGGAGGATGCATCATATATTCAGCATCATTGCAGTGTATTAAAGGGGCTTCAACATTGCTTCCTGCAAGCTCCCATCTTGCAGTTTCAGTTGTGGAATTATCTCCCCTGTGGCAGGTTAACACTGCCAACAGCCTCTTAATTGGTTTAATTTCCTGAAATATTTGCATTATATGTTGCATTTTATAGTATATTTAAACTAGGTGCTGAAAAAAACCTCCACATTGCCATTAACCCAGAACTCGGGCTAGCCAATTGTATGTTTTTTCTCATCAGATATTTTTCTTTCTGCAGATGGATGCGATCATCGTATCAGAAAATGGCTTTGCATCTTCCACAAATATTTTAAACCTGGCTGACCAACTTAAAATAAAGAAAATGAAGAAAAAGGAAGCAGAGCAAGTGCTGCAAAATTTGGTGCAGGATAAGTGGCTCTCTGAAGTAATTGCTTTATCTTGTAGAGAGAGTGGGCATTTTAGTAGCTTTGACTGTTCTTTCATATTGCTTTGACAGCCAAAAGTGCAGCTCTGCTCTAGAGAGTGACTGTAAAAATGGTATTGGGTGAGCCAATTTTTATTGTCTCAATGATGCAGTATAAAATATGCTAAGTTTACAAGTCTTTGCATCTGGCCGTGCTGTAAGCTTACCCTAGGAGTTGACTCAGACAGAGCTCTTTTCTTCTCAGGTATCATCACTTAGTAGCAAAGGTTCTGCAAGCCAAACGGTATGCTCATGCCAGGCAGTAAGGTTGCACGGGTGTAACTGAGAACCCTGCTGACACGCTCCCGCAGTTTCCACGCATGGGACACTCTGAACGCTTGCCGCTCCCCTTTAAATACTGAGTTAGGGAGGCGGTGGTGGCACTGCTGGGCTTAGCCCCCCCAGAGAAGAGCTGGAGGGACGCGCCCCCCCGCAGGTTGGCAAGCAGAAGTGACCATGTCCATCTGCGGTGCAGCTGCTGTGCTCACCCTCTGCTCTTGAAGGTGTTTCATCCTGAATCTCTACACCGTTCTCTGCGACGGGCTCCCTTGAGCTGGGGGAGACTTTCAGAAATGTAAAGGACAGGTAGGTGCCCAATTCCTACTGAAAGTCAGGAGGAAACTCCCCTTTGTGCCTTTGAAAATCTCTCCCTTCATTACATGTGTTAAGAAAGGGTGCCAGATTTTCTTCCATGATATTTCTCAATAATCTAGGTATTTTAGAGCTGTCCAGCTCTAAAGAGAAGCCCAGTTGCAAAGGTTGTTACATGGAACCCTACATTTTGTTTAGAATAATCTCTCTAACCTCTGTGGTCTTTGATGGAGGATGGGTGAATGCTTGCAGGGACCTGTGGCTTCCATGGTATGCATATTTATTAAAGACAAGGGAGTTTTTTTCCTGCTGTTTTATGCTAATTAGGTGCAGTGCTTTGAGTGGAATTTGAATATTGTCTTTGTATTAGTGATGGGTCTCTGCTGGATGCTGAAAAGAAATGAACATCAAGCTTTGCTTTTGCTAAAAGTTCGAGCGAGCTCAGAAAAAGGTCAAGAGTGAATTGTAAGAAACAATATTATAATCTCACAGTTGGTGTTGTTCCCTTAGCGAGATGGGGAGTACACCTTGCACACTCGCTGCATAATGGAGATGGAGCAATACATCCTCAGCAACTACCAAGACTTGGTGAGGAAATGTAACATCTGTCACAGCCTCGCCATTCAGGTAACATATTGGGCTGGGCTTCCTCAGTAAGTGTCTGCTGTTGAGAAACATTCCTGCATGATGGTAGCTAAAGCATGTGATATTTTTTCTTTCTGAGCATTTGTTCCATGTTCAAACTGCTGTTGTAACCTGGCAGTGGAGTCCACAGTACACAAAATACCTATTCTGTTGCTGCCACTATAACTATATGAACTTGGAGAAAGTGAACTTAGTCAGTGAGAAACCTGCATTCATCATGTTGGCTCCTGTCCCAGTCAGCTGAACTGGGGGTGAATCTTTTCCATTTTTACATGTGCATGATGGTTGTTAGCTATTATAAACCACTGGACTCAACACATGGTGATTTCCCTGTCTGGTACGTGCATGCATCTTCACTCTTGCTTGCGTCAAGAACTCTAGAATAAGCCCACAAACTGCACTGAGGAGCTGGGCAGTGGCATCCCCACAAGCTCCCAATCTTGTTCCCCTGATAAGTGGCTGGGACCTGAGCTCCTTTTCTCAGCTGCCAATCTCCCGTTACTCATTCCCTGCCTCCTGCAGCTACTTCTTCTCTCCAAGTCTTTCCCAACAGGCATGCTGTTCTGACACTCCTTTTCCCACCCACCTGTCCCAACACCCTTTGGCTCCCAAGCCTTCTTGCTACGAGTCTTTCCATGACCCCAACAAATGCCCGTTTCCCAGCTCCCAAGTAGTATTTCCCTGTAACCCATGCCAGCCTCTGTTTACAAGGATCCTCCAGCTGGAAATGAAGTAAAATTCTCTGGAGTTAGTGCTCTTAGTTTGGGTGAGTAAGGCAGACTATGGCTCTTTCCAAAGATGACATGCTTTGTAGCACTGAGAGGGAGACCAGAAATGCTTTCTATTGACAGTAACATTTCTCATTTCAGAGTCAAGTATGTGAAACCTGTGGAATTGGAATGCACTTGCCTTGTGCTGGAAAATATTTCAAAGCTCAGATGGAACCACACTGTCCCCACTGTAATGAGTTTTGGCCACATGAGATTCCAGGTAGCAAGCAACCCATTTTACAACTCTCGTCTAATAATACCTGAGCATGGACGGAGATATTTAATGGTGATACTTAAGTTACTGTAGTCATGATGAGATGACAGTGGATTAAACTTTCTTACTTACTGGAAACGTCAAGTATTTCAGCTGGTGGATCTTGCTTTGGTAATTTTGTGCACCTATAACCGTCAGGGTTGTGCCTTTACTCCTGGAGTCCTAGACCCTCTACTACCAGCAGTATGTTGAGTGAAAAAAAATCTGGAAATATTCAGTTTGTTGAAGCAGAAGCTTCTCGGAATACCTCAATGTAACTAATGAAATGGAACATTTCTAACGGAAGTCACAAGCAAATAGGAGTTTACACATTTTTAGCCATTTAGAGAGAATTTGGAGCTCATGAAAGTGTATTGTCAGGGAAACAACACAAACCGGTATTTTGTTCACTAACATTGCATTTTTTCTTCACAGAGATAAATCGGCCAGATTCCCAGTTGCCTTCAAGTGCCCCGAGGGAGAGGAGAGGAACCTCATCCTCAGGAACAAGGCGGCGTTAGAAAGACCAGCTTCAGTTAAAGCAGCCATTTTCTTTCACTGTTTTACAGATGAGCCCAATTGCAGTTTACTTCAGCGTTAGTGTAAAATGTGTCATTCTGAAAGTAGGAATGCCCAGGGAACAAAGTCAATTTTCTTTTTATGGTTTGTTTATACTTTGCTAAAACCTTGCTAGAAGTTTGAAAATAAAACTGTTCTGACCTTGGCCTCCTTGCTCAGTTCCTGCACTGTTAAGGTCAGCATAGCTGTAGTGGAGGCTGTCATGGTATGTGTACATAGCTACCATTATTGCCAAAGGGGGGTGGGGCATTATGCCTATGTAGGAATGGGAGATTTGACTGCTGCTGCCTCAGTTGTGTAAGCTGATCCACATAGACCTTTACACCGTGCCCAGTCCTGTTAAATTAAAGGGGGCCCAGGTGCAGGAGTCCATCTGCACAGGTCTGAACGTGCAGCTGGGACAAGAAAGCTCAGTGCAGGGGAGTTTGTGCAAATCCTCCAAAAACAGAATTTTTAAAAAGACACAAGACCTATTTAGACTTCCATTTTAAAACTGTTATAAAATCTGTAAAATCAATGAGGTTTGTCAACCATTCTGTCATCCTGGTTGAATTCAGTGAAGGTGCCACTAACAGGGTTCAGTATTAACACCTCATCCCCACCTAGTTCCAGCCCTCCTCTGAAAGGATGTTTTTAAACATAGTCTGAGTATTCACGTACACATTCATTCTTTATTGCTCCAAATCTGACAAAGAGGTGGCACCAGAAGCACATCTCAGGGTTCCCCAAGGTTTAAGAGCATCTATTAAGCCTCCTTTTAATACCATGATTTCATAGTAATTGTTGGTTAGAATAAATGATGCTAAGTTAGCACTTCTGCACCTTCATTTCTTGGATCTCAAAGTCCCTGCAGTCCTATAGCTTTGCAGGCACAGAAGCAGGTGCGTAGTCTTTTCAGCCCAGAATGCCAGAGAGTAGAAGTTGAGCATCTCTTTCACAGTTCCTTCTGTAATAATTGTTTTTTACATAATACCCCAGAAAATGGTTTAGGGTGGGAGAGGGGAGCCTAATGGGAATGAGCACCAGATGAGGGAATAGTCTCCAAACACCACATGCTGATTCCTTCACTGGCTCACTACACCAGGGCTCATATTGAAGCTTCATTCTAAGCAAACACACACTTGGGGTTTGCATAACAGTTAGAGAACTCTGCATTTGCAATGATTAGTAATATCAGAGCTTTAATCAAGAAAATGAAATCTTCATTTCATATTTCCCCTGTGAGTAAATGGGCTTTTTGTTAGATCAGCAGATGAGAAGTCACTGCAGTGCCCATGTTTTGTATATTAATGTAGTTCTCCAGCAGCTATTTTTAACAATCATTTTAGAATTGTCTATGTTTCCTTACAATGGCTTGGAAGGGAGAGAAGTACCAGACACTGCCAGCTGCAACAGCAAGGATGGTAATGAATTAATTGCTGGTGAGAATGAAAGGAATGCAGTCCATCTCCCTGCAAAGGGCACAACACAAGTACAACAGCTGAGCTCTATCACTGAATTATATAATCCAGTGTATTGCACTTCCACCCCTCATTAGCAATAGACTTTACTGCTGGCTTGGCTCCTTTTTATTATCGGAGATTTTGTATAAATGTTATCCACCATAATGGGAGTCATGGCTATGCAACTATTATTAAATTCAGATGGATAGTAAACTTACAATGGGTCACATGGTCCCCTCAGCTCCACTTTGACAATCACACCATTTGGGGCCCAGTGTCTTGATGATGCCCATATATAGTCTTGTTTTGGGTATGTATACTTGAGCTGATAATTTGACAGATGTTCTTTATTAGGAATTTGTATTGGAAACATTCACAAAACAGTGAATGCTGCTGCAGCTACCTCATTTCTGATTCTTTGTTTAGATTTCTTGCTATGTCAGGAAGCAGAAAGAACTGTAATTCTTAACCCAGCTCTGCACTTTAAGCAAAAGATAATGAACATTCTCATGTTAAGAAAAACTTTCCTCTGTTGAAGGTCTGAAAATTCTTTCCCTAATCAAGAGTACAGCATGCTGCATTTTTTATATTACCTTAAATTGCAAAACAGAGATTTATCCACACCAAATAATGGTTTATGACCACCAGAAACTGACAGAGAAGCTGACATCGAGAGATCGTACATAATGCCAGTATTTAACTGGAATAAACAGAACCTGTCCTGGTGTCAGAATACAAGCTTGAAATGCAGCCCGTTCAAACTTGGGGAACTTAACTAAATCGGGATCCTCCACGTCCACCTATAAATCAAACACACAATTTGTTTTCAGATCCAAAGATGGTTTGGTTACTTAAAATTAAATGATCAATTTTTAGATTTTAGGCAGTTATTTACCTGGCTGGTGTTGTGAAGAATTTGGGTTTCATGTGGATATAGATTTTCTGATTCCTGTGGAGAGTACAGACGGATGTATTTTCTTCCAATTACCTGCAGGTGGAAGGATATAAATTTTCCATCTGTCATTAATCTGCACATTACCTGCTGAAATAGGGTTTGACTTCAGTTAATTAGTGATCAGTCTAATGCTCTATCCCTCTGTATCATGATAAGCACTTAACTGTAGACTACAACAGATTGCCAGATCCTGGGCAAAACAGGTAAAGTCATGTAAGGGACTTTATGTAAGGGAGCAGTATGACTGCTCAGAGCTCCGGTACGAAACTGCAGAAAAACCTGAGTGTCTCTGGATTAAGTTTAGAAGTGTGTGCAACAAGAGTGATGTAGTGGTGGGAGTCTGCTATAGACCACCGGACCAGGGGGATGAGGTAGATGAGGCTTTCTTCCGGCAGCTCACGGAAGCTACTGGATCGCATGCCCTGATTCTCATGGGTGACTTTAATTTTCCTGATATCTGCTGGGAGAGCAATAGAGCGGTGCATAGACAATCCAGGAAGTTTTTGGAAAGCGTAGGGGACAATTTCCTGGCGCAAGTGCTCGAGGAGCCAACTAGGGGGGGCGCTTTTCTTGACCTGCTGCTCACAAACCGGGTAGAATTAGTGGGGGAAGCAAAAGTGGATGGGAATCTGGGAGGCAGTGACCATGAGTTGGTTGAGTTCAGGATCCTGACACAGGGAAGAAAGGTAAGCAGCACGATACGGACCCTGGACTTCAGGAAAGCAGACTTCGACTCCCTCAGGGAACGGATGGCCAGGATCCCCTGGGGGATTAACTTGAAGGGGAAAGGAGTCCAGGAGAGCTGGCTGTATTTCAAGGAATCCCTGTTGAGGTTACAGGGACAAACCATCCCGATGAGTCGAAAGAATAGTAAATATGGCAGGCGACCAGCTTGGCTTAATGGTGAAATCTTAGCGGATCTTAAACATAAAAAAGAAGCTTACAAGAAGTGGAAGGTTGGACATATGACCAGGGAAGAGTATAAAAATATTGCTAGGGCATGTAGGAATGTTATCAGGAGGGCCAAATCGCACCTGGAGCTGCAGCTAGCCAGAGATGTCAAGAGTAACAAGAAGGGTTTCTTCAGGTATGTTGGCAACAAGAAGAAAGCCAAGGAATGTGTGGGCCCCTTACTGAATGAGGGAGGCAAACTAGTGACAGAGGATGTGGAAAAAGCTAATGTACTCAATGCTTTTTTTGCCTCTGTTTTCACTAACAAGGTCAGCTCCCAGACTGCTACGCTGGGCATCACAAAATGGGGAAGAGATGGCCAGCCCTCTGTGGAGATAGAGGTGGTTAGGGACTTTTAGAAAAGCTGGACGTGCACAAGTCCATGGGGCCGGACGAGTTGCATCCGAGAGTGCTGAAGGAACTGGCGGCTGTGATTGCAGAGCCATTGGCCATTATCTTTGAAAACTCGTGGCGAACCGGGGAAGTCCCGGATGACTGGAAAAAGGCTAATGTAGTGCCAATCTTTAAAAAAGGGAAGAAGGAGGATCCTGGGAACTACAGGCCAGTCAGCCTCACTTCAGTCCCTGGAAAAATCATGGAGCAGGTCCTCAAAGAATCAATCCTGAAGCACTTGCATGAGAGGAAAGTGATCAGGAACAGCCAGCATGGATTCACCAAGGGAAGGTCATGCCTGACTAATCTAATCGCCTTCTATGATGAGATTACTGGTTCTGTGGATGAAGGGAAAGCAGTGGATGTATTGTTTCTTGACTTTAGCAAAGCTTTTGACATGGTCTCCCACAGTATTCTTGTCAGCAAGTTAAGGAAGTATGGGCTGGATGAATGCACTACAAGGTGGGTAGAAAGCTGGCTAGATTGTCGGGCTCAACGGGTAGTGATCAATGGCTCCATGTCTAGTTGGCAGCCGGTATCAAGTGGAGTGCCCCAAGGGTCGGTCCTGGGGCCGGTTTTGTTCAATATCTTCATAAATGATCTGGAGGATGGTGTGGATTGCACTCTCAGCAAATTTGCGGATGATACTAAACTGGGAGGAGTGGTAGATACGCTGGAGGGGAGGGATAGGATACAGAAGGACCTAGACAAATTGGAGGATTGGGCCAAAAGAAATCTGATGAGGTTCAATAAGGATAAGTGCAGGGTCCTGCACTTAGGACGGAAGAACCCAATGCACAGCTACAGACTAGGGACCGAATGGCTAGGCAGCAGTTCTGCGGAAAAGGACCTAGGGGTGACAGTGGACGAGAAGCTGGATATGAGTCAGCAGTGTGCCCTTGTTGCCAAGAAGGCCAATGGCATTTTGGGATGTATAAGTAGGGGCATAGCGAGCAGATCGAGGGACGTGATCGTTCCCCTCTATTCGACATTGGTGAGGCCTCATCTGGAGTACTGTGTCCAGTTTTGGGCCCCACACTTCAAGAAGGATGTGGATAAATTGGAGAGAGTCCAGCGAAGGGCAACAAAAATGATTAGGGGTCTGGAACACATGAGTTATGAGGAGAGGCTGAGGGAGCTGGGATTGTTTAGCCTGCAGAAGAGAAGAATGAGGGGGGATTTGATAGCTGTTTTCAACTACCTGAAAGGGGGTTCCAAAGAGGATGGCTCTAGACTGTTCTCAATGGTATCAGATGACAGAACGAGGAGTAATGGTCTCAAGCTGCAGTGGGGGAGGTTTAGATTGGATATTAGGAAAAACTTTTTCACTATGAGGGTGGTGAAACACTGGAATGCGTTACCTAGGGAGGTGGTAGAATCTCCTTCCTTAGAGGTTTTTAAGGT